GATACGAGAGAGGGGAGAGAGGAAAAGAAAAAAAATTATCGGTCCGGTTCCCGGACACACTGCCGCTTGGTCCTCAACCGGCTGAGAGGCTCTCACTCGCGGTGCCATGCGATGGTACTGGACATCGTTGGTGGACAGCCCACCGCTCCTCCGCCTCCTGACGGACGGCGATGGCTCCTCCTATTGAGGGCAGCCGGCAGCGAGTCCCCCGTTGCCTGCTCCTCCCCAATCATGGCGGATGGCAGCAGGCTCCGGCCTCCTGGCGAACGGGCAGACTCCTCCGCTCCCTCACGGACGGCAGCCACCCCTCCTCGACCCAGGAGCGCGGCAGCGAGCTCTCTGTCCCACCTCGTCTTCCATCGTTCCAGCACCACCGCCTCGGGCAGCCACCGGCGGTCTCTCCGCGTGTCCCTCCTCCCTCCCGGGTTTCGGCACCAATGTAACACAGTTCGTAGTCACGGGAAGAAGGAGGTGGGAACCGGCGAACATTTAAGGACTTTAATAAAATAAACACACAAAATGAAAGTAAAGCGGCAGCCCCTCACGGATGACTGCCGCACACAAAACACAAAATAAAATCCAGGCCTGGTCCTCTCTCGTCTTTCACTATCGTAGCTCCTCCTTTTATCCTTCCGGAGAGTGGTGCAGGTGTGGCTCATTATCAATTACTCCACCGGCCTCGCTCCGTTCCCACGGCTCTCGGCCCCGCCCCCCCTCGTCAAACTTTTTATCCTTCCGGAGCTCCTCCGTGGGACTCGAGACCGGTGAGTGGTGCAGGTGTCGCTTATTATCAATTACTCCACCGGCCTTGCTCCGTTCCCACGGCACTCGGCCCCGCCCCCACTCGTCACAGTCAGCAAATATAATTTCTTTTTACATCCTTTATTTGTAGTCACTATGACTTTATATCAAATAGTTCCTTGTATATAACGACCAGTAATTCTAAGAGCTCATCATATTGAAATCCAGGCCCATGACCCCAAAACTAATATTTTATTGGATAATGAATTTTATTGGATAAACAACCATACAATTAAAAACATCAACTTTGCCTTTGAATAAAACAACACTGAATCATCGCTGCACGGTATTTAGGACTATTGGGTTAGATTATTGGGTTATTTTTGTCTAGACATGTGATCAGTGCTTTGTTCTACGCAGGGTACCCCAGGTCCCACCGGACCAAGAGGCCCAAAGGGAGAGCAGGTGAAATATCAGAAGCTTCTCACTCAACGCAAATTCACACATGTTTGGACCTCCACACAAACATTGAAAGTGTCATCTAACATCTTTATTACGGGTAATTATAGGGAATACAAGGTCCCCCTGGGCCACCTGGAGATGTGGTATGTTTTAAAATCATTATCGTCTCACTGTACTTTTTTCTACACCCCCTGTTTATTTAAATAACCTGCTGTTTTTGAAATCTTTTGAATTTGTTCTTTTTGTTAGACAACTGGAGAGAAACAGCTGAAAGGTGACAGAGGAGAAAAGGTACAGTAAAATGTTCATAGTTTTTAAATTCTGTCTATCATGCGTATTCTGGTTTTGTCGTTGTGATACTCTTGTTCTAACACCAGGGAGAGGCAGGTGACCCAGGGGAGCACGGGGCTAAAGGTCAAAAGGGTGAACCAGGAGCTTCAGGCTCGCCAGGACCAAGCGTAAGTCAGTATGGTGATCAGACAGTACGACAGTAATTGAGAATAATGTGATTTGTATCTTAACCTATTTGTTGTTTAGGGTCCTGAGGGGCCACGTGGGCTACCAGGAGCCAGAGTAAGAACCTCCTACTGCTTTTGTGTCTTTTATCTGTTTAGACATTTCTTTGATCTTTATGTGTATCTGTGTCTGTCTCTGGCCGCATACACACTGACTCTAAATGTGATGATACACGGGGCAAATTTTTGAGCAATGTTGCTGAGCAATGTTGCCGTCAACGGGCAACCAGGTGAGACACAGGGCCTACGACTGATCTAAAGTATCCAGATAGAAATTTGTTGCCCATTTTCAATGGGAAAGTGCCCAAGCAACATTATTTGCCCGGCAACATTGCCCCATGTATCATCACCTTAAATATGGTGATATACAGTACGTAATCCCATTCAAACACAAAGTTATTTAGGACCGTGGGAACCATATTATGCAACTGAATTCATTCTAAACATTCAGATAACTGATTTTTCATTAAATCTCCACTGTAGTACCACACCAGGAGTCATTACTTTTAATAGCAGATTGTACAACTCAGCTTTCTGTTTCTTCTAGGGTGACCCAGGGGCAGTCCAGGAGACAAGGTAAAAGAGCCAGTTTTCTTGGTTTACTGTGGGACGTTGCTTTTGCTTCTTTAAGTACCGTGTCTAGGCTGTAGATTTTTTAGACGGGTGAATTGTTTGACCTTCATGTTCCATAACAGCAAACAAGACCATTTTTGAGACCATTAACATGACCACAAGACATGAAATACAAAACATATTTAGCACAAACATTTTAAAGTTGTTAAAAATCAACTTTCTTTAAATGACAGGAATTCTGACAGGAAGTAGTATTAGCTTAAAGGTTAAGTATCTGCACTGCTTAATGCAAAGGCCGCAGGTTCAGTTTTATATATGGGTGGTATTCTTTAGGCACCTTACGATTTGATTAAATTTTGATTCAGGAAATCTGAAATCATGATGCGATTACTAAACAATATTCAGTGCTTACATTTTTCAACAGTGCCTTTCAGCCGCAAATCTTTGTAAATAAATCATGCATTTAGACCTAGAGTCTTTCCGACATATGTCGAAGCTTTGGATTGCTTAAGGGTTTTCTGTTAGAATTGACAGACATGAACAGGCCGTTGTTCTTCCAGCTCCAGAGGAACAACACTTGTTGTTATTTTCTCAAAATATTGGAAAAACCGTCATATTTTGAAGTATTTTTACAATTTAAAATAACAGTTTTCTATTTTATTATATTTTAAAAGTAATTTGTTCTTGTGATGACAAAGCAAAATTTTCAGGAGCCATTACTCCAGTCTTCCATGTCACATCAACTATCAGAAATCATGAAATCATATGCTGATTTGGTGCTCAAAAATATTTTTTTATTACTATCAATGTTGGAATCAATTGTGCTGCTTCATATTTTTGTCGAAACTGTAATAGCATAGAAGCATATCAGCATAGAAAAGAAAGTTCAGAAGAACAGCATTTATTTGAAAAAAATTTTTTGTAACAGTGTCAGTATTTACTGTCACTTTTGATAAATTTAATGCATCCTTGCTAAATAAAAGTATTAATTTCTTTAAAAAATATCTTACTGACCCCAAACATTTGAACGGATGCCAAGTAGACGTAACCTGCAATGAATTTTATAGAAAGAGGATTGTGATGTCTGAACAAGGAATTGAACACCTTGTTTCAGCAGTGCAATTTTTACCGTCAATTACTGTTTGAATGAGGCATCTATAAAGTAAGCAGCTTCCTTAAATATCTCTTCAAAAGCAGGTGTAAGCACCCCTGCAAAAATCATTCTATTTTAGAGTGCAGCAATGACAATATTTTGAAAAGTGAGTGTCATACAGTGGTAGACAGCTGAAAAATGGCTGAAGTGGTAAAACTGGCTGCAGTAATCAGTGTAAGGTATAAATATAACTGCTTAGTCATGGATCTCTCTATACTGCAGAAGCTGTGACACACTTCATTATGTCAGGTTTTACCTCGTGGGGTTTTAAATAGCAGGTCTTACTAGCGCTGCAATTATTTGGTATTGGCTGTCTGCGAGACTGTTTAATCTTTGTCTAACATTTGTGCTACAGAACTGAAACAAGGTTTTGTTTAATAGTTGGAGGAAATGAGAAAACAAGATCTCACTGATGTCTCGAGGAATATTGTAAACCATGTTGTGGCTTTCTACAACAGACGTATAGCCAATTAATTGGTGTCTGACCCTTGACATATACTTGTACCAGTCCTCATCTAATTTATCCTTTTGATCTCTGTTCCTTTCATAATCATTGTGTAGGTTTTTAGACTGGCTTCATTGATTTTATTACATTAATTAAGCTGATGACTGCTGCTTTTGGCATGCATATGTGTGATGCTTTCAGAAAGGTGTTATTAGTGACAAAGATTGGATCTATCAGTCAACCCATTCGAATTATTATTCATTTAAGTTGGTGACGACTCCACTCAAAATCAATTTAAATTTTCTCAGCATTATGTTGATTGTTTTGTGTATTTACAGTGTGTGTGTGCCACAGACTAGTTAATGTGGATTGTTTCTGTATATGTGTGCATGCGTGTGCAGGGAGAAAGAGGAGCGGCTGGATTGGATGGACGACCCGGTCAGGATGGGAAACCTGGGCCGCCTGGAGCTCCTGGATTACGGGTCAGATAATAACTTCAATCCTTGCATCAGCTTCATATTCAAAGGATCTTCTATCAATCTGAATCCTTAATGTTTTTGGTTTTGTAGGGTGACCCAGGAAAACAAGGGGATCCTGGAAGAGATGTGAGTACTCCTGTCCCTCCGTATGTCAAATCATCTGTTTGTTGCATCATGATGTTGCCACTGTTTGCTGCAACAAATCAATCCAGTTTTTAATCTGTTTAACATTTAATTGTTGTTTTCTAGGGCTTGGCGGGACTAAGAGTGCCTCAGGGGCCTCCAGGACCACCTGGGCCCCCAAGGAGCTAATGGCACACCTGTGAGTAATATCACAGCTTAATCTGTGAAAATCATTTATCCATGCAAATTCCCATACTGGAGCATAAGCACGTTATCACATCAAAATAACGTTATGCTTTATTTCAGGGCAAAGCAGGGGAGGATGGGAAACCAGGACTGCCTGGAAAACCTGTAAGTAATGCTGTAATCTTAATGAAAAACCAACATCCTTTCAGAAACATTTGAATCTACTGTAAATGCAACATTTTTGTAAAATATTCTCACATATTGATATATTCAACAACCTAATTGTAATATCAGTAGCATGTGTTAATTTCCAAGCCAGCACTTGGTACTTTAAATCCTGAGGCCTTTTTTAAATTTTTTTTATCAAGGCACAATCTAGAATGCAGCATGCAAACTCTCGTTCCAGTTTAGTAACCATACCACAGTCCTTGTCCTCCATAAATGAGACGATTAAATCCTGCTGATAATAAATCTCCCTCTTAGTAGCCTAATGAGCTTTCAGTGGGAGGTAACTCTGACTAATAAATGCTTTATAGTTAAAATATGTGAGGAGTTTCAGTCAGCCGTGTACTAAAGTTTGGTTAACCTGACTCATATAGATTACTCCACTGGAGCTGAGCTTACGCAAAACCCGCTCGTCCTGCAGTTTCTTCTCATTTACTGATCACAGCCCTGAACCAGCTGTGGTAATTGCAGGAGCTATATTGGGCTGGATGGCACCCGTCATATATCTGTAATACGAGGCTGCGTGTCGCACGAAGCTTTTAGAAGAGAAATTACTGCTAGAATGAGTCGCACAAAATTACAAGAGTTCTCATACCAAAACAGGAAGAGCTGATTACAGGAAGACTTGATTACAGAAATGATGAAAATGTGCCTCGCTCTCATCCAGATGTCTGTGTTTAATGCCTCGTGCCTCATCTTTTTCAGGGCGAGGATGGCGTGCCAGGAGAGGATGGTCGAAAGGTAATAAAACACCTATTGGTGAAAACTTGTGTATGATTACATTGTAATTTTTGATAATTAGCCTCTGATCGAATCTGGTTATGCCTTCTTTGCAGGGAGATAAAGGAGAGCCTGGGCCCACTGGAAGAGATGTGAGTCTCTTTGTCTTTATCTTCCTGATCATCCTGTTCTCACTCTCTTCCTGCCTTTCACAACACAAGACAAGTCCATCACAGCTTATCATACTCCGCACTACATAACACTTTCAAAATGTACATTTTACAGCTTCTCTGACAGCTATGTTACGGAAAATGTTATTTTTTACCATTTTGTGAATTTCATTCACTACATGGCATCAAAAGTAAGCATGTAACTTATAAAGGCTTGTAAAGGCTGTTCTTGTTTGTAAGTGTCGGCTGTTTCATTTTGTACTCCTTACTGTACCTGCTGTTTTCTTCTCTGTGATTTGTGGCCACATTTGACTCGGTGTACTCAGATTTTGTTGTTTTCTGTGATTCAGTCCATGTCATTATATCTCTTTGCCCTTTTTACTCGCTTTTTGCTATTTGTCTGTCTTGCACAGTTAATTTTCCCATCAGCACAAATCAGATTTGTTGTTAAATGGATGTTTTCAATCATAGAAACACACTCGCAAACATACACACACACACACACACACACACACACACTCACCCACATTTTAAATGCATGGATGCTCTTCTTCCTGTGCTTGATGCTGAGTGCAGTCAGTAGTTGAGTCAGCAGCCTTATAGGAGAAACTCTTCATTGATGAGTTTATTTGATGTGCAAATTTATGCCCATTAATTAAGAAATTAATTTGTATCATGGTTATTTCTCTCATCTCCCTCTCTCTCTCTGTTTATCCTCAGGGTCGAGATGGGTTGAAAGGTGATCAGGGCATTGCAGGACTTATTGGCCCTCAAGGTCCCATTGGACCCCCTGGAGTTCCTGGAAATGTCGGACCACCAGGACCTGTGCGTTTGTGTTTGTGCATATGTTTGATTTTAAATAGACTACTCTGCTACTCTATTAATCGCATGAGAATTCTGGAGGATGCTTAATTTATGCAAAGAGCTGTATATCTCAATCTTTCAATCTTTTTTTTCAGGTGGTGTATGTTAAAGGGGAGCCAGCAACACCTATTCCAGGCCCCCAGGGCCCTCCAGGAGCCCCTGTAAGTAACACATCCCACTACTGGCTCTACAGCACCACTTACATTTTCTTCTGAAATTGGGAAAATCTTGTTTAGTTATATAATAAAGCCTAAATACATATATTTAATCACTGTTTGAATGAAATACAGACAAAATGAGAGCAGCTATGTATTGTATCTTTCATATGCAGTGTTGGGCAAGTTACTTCCAAAATGTAATACATTATATATTACTAGTTACTGTCTTTTGAAAGTAATTAGTTACATTACAATATTACTGTCTCTGAATTGTAATGTGTTACACTACTTTTGAGTTACTTTTGAGTTACTTTCACCAAAATATCCACATAAGTAAGCATTACAAAATGCCAAAATGTAGTTTATTGCTGCTCATTCTACATCCGGTGGAGGGTAATGTGGTAGGTCTATATAGCATAAAATTATAAAATCATATTTAGATACCGGTATAGGTCTACATTAATGTTACATTGTAGCCTAGTTTAGGTTAAACGCAGATAAGCACAAACCACATTATTACATTCATAAATAACACCGGTAAATAAAGCGAAATGTTATAATATACAAACAATAAACAATACCTAGTCTATATGCTATTTTGAACGGTTTCAGAAGAAAACCAGAATGAAAAATATAAGTTGCTAAACAAGCCAAAACGAATTAGGCTGGCTAATTCAATGCGAAACTGAAAGCAAATTGCGTTCTCGCGCAGCCTACCTCTCTTGTTCGGCATTAATCCAATTATACAGTGGGTACGGAAAGTATTCAGACCCCCTTCAATTTTTCACTCTTTTACAAACAATAAACACAATACCTAGCCTATAGGCTATTTTGAACGGTTTCAGAAGAAAACAAGAATGAAAAATATAAGTTGCTAAAACAAGCCAAAATGAATTAGGCTGGCTAATTCAATGCGAAACTGAAAGCAAATGGCGTTCTCGCGCAGCCTACCTCTCTCATTCGGCATTAATCCAATTAAATGTGTCCATATTTGCGATGTATTTGAATGCAAAACTATTATTTATTATGTAAACCAGGCTTACTTAACATGCTTAAAAAAACATCCTCGTCACATGAGCAAGGCTGAACGGCACGGATTGTAACTACGCAGTACGCACTATTTAAATGAACCAGTGTATCTATATGTTTGGTTGACTGTATTTTATTCTGACAGGCTGCAAGCAGCAACGTTCGCAATGCTGTATGTGTGTGCGTGAGGCGCCAGCGCGATCGAACAAACAACAAAAAAATACTCCGTCATTTTTGGTCATACAGATCATTCGAAACTGCAGTGTGTTTACTTTTGTTTCTATCATCTCGGTTTCCTTTCCGTGGACTTTTGTAGAGCGCTGCGCCACACAAATAGAACCAAACTCAGCAGCATATCTCTCAGTCTTTTCCTTTCGTTTGGTTAATCTGTTAATTAGGCCATTTAAGTCAAATATTTCGCATATTCATTCATTTTATAGACTATGATTTAATAAAAACAGATTTTGTTAATTTTAGTTAAACTTATTTGTGTTGCTTGTCTGCGCTCGTCCACCGCCTTTTTTCTCTTCTCCGACCCCGCAGCTCTCTCCGATTAGGCCATGCTTTACACTAACTCAAACATACCATGTTCAATCTGCACCAGACTTCACATGTTTAATAAAAGTGCTAGCCTGAAGACATCTACATGCCAACATCCAGTTATAATCATAGCGCCACCAGCTGGCAGCAGGAAGTTTGGCACATATAAATGACTTTGACATATTCCTCCTATATTTACCACTTATTGCATATTGCCCACTGATTGCTGTTTTCCTAAAGCCACCGGGTGGCGGTGAGCCCGGGTGCGAGGGCCCGTTCATTGCTGCTTGCAGCTTTAATATTACTTTTGTAATGCGTTACTCCCAACACTGTTCATATGTATTACTTTTTATCAATCAGGGAGTACCTGGAGTCCCAGGAGCTGCTGGACCAAGAGTAAGTTTGTCTGTGTGTGTGTGTGCGCGCAAGTAAATATGTTGTGTTTTTTTAGATATCATGATGCATGATGTTGTCATAATATGACCTTTGTAGGGGGAGAGAGGTCTGCCAGGCTTGAAAGGAGATGCGGTGAGTGTATATTTACGAATGTGTCTTTTAGTGGTCACTGCTCTCAGAGCTGACACAAGGCAGTTCTCCGCATACCTGACTGTAATAATTCAACTCTTTTGATTGACAGGGAGATCCAGGAGAGGATGGCAAACCAGGAACTGTAGTGGTGAGGAAAACGCTCACGCACACAAAGTCACACATGCATGGCTGGCAAGATGATTAATGTTGTTTTCCCCCTGTTTTGTCATAGGATGTGAAGAGAGCTTTGTCAGTACTGAGAAATTTATCAACCAGATTGACAGAGTTTGTATGTAGATGTACATGTCACCCTCTTTCCTATTCTTTGCAGGTCAGAGAACTGAAACTATTTGTTGATGACAAAAGCAATCTGGTATCAAAGTTGAGTGAATTGACAGAAGGAAAGAGGGGTGAAAAAGGAGATGTCGGACCTAGAGGCCCTCCAGGAGCAGATGTGAGTTAAAATCGTGCATATGTGAGACAGTGGTGTCTGGTAGTTGGATAGTTGGATGAGTAGTGTGTCTCGATACCTTTTGCAATGAAGACATGTTTTTACATCAACGAAAGGTGGTGTACAGATGTTACAGCGTTAAAGAAGAGACCATGGTGCTGAAGCGTATTTCTGGTTAGAAAACATCCAGCAACTCTCTGTATTTCTTCATGGTCTCATCCTCTCCTCTTCTTCCTTTTTTAAACCTAGTTCTCTCTTCCTTGCATACTGGCTTTCAGGGTGCACGAGGTCTTCCAGGTGAACGAGGTGTGAAAGGAGAGCTGGGTGAGAAAGGGCCTCCTGGCCCACAGGGTCCTCTAGGCAGGGCAATTGGAGAAAGGGGCCCAGAAGGTCCACCAGGACTGGCAGGTGAACCCGGAAAGCCAGGAATACCAGGAGTACCAGGACGAGCCGATGAACATGGAGAAGCTGGCAGACCTGGGGACAAGGTAAAGAAAAGAAGAGCATTGGTATTTTGTTACTATAGCTGTTTTACATCTTTTATGAGATACAGAGTTGATCAAAGAAAACACTTGAGATAAAGTTATTGTAGAAATTAGATTAAAATTTGTCTTTGTTGCAGGGGGAGAAGGGGCAGAAAGGGGACAGAGGGCCAGCTGTAAGTACCATTACTATAATTCATGCATGTTCATGCAAGGTCTAAAATGAACTTTACCACACTTGCTAATGGCAGTTGAATTAAAAAAATGCACCAAAAATAAAGAATTTAATAAATAAATTATGTATTTATTTGCTGGTGCATTTTCTTTCATAATATATATTTTCCATGTATGAATTGTAATTTCCGAACAGAAAAGTTTGTTCGCATTTGGTGCTTGGTGTATGTTCAAACCCTACTTTCTTGTTTTCATATGGAATAAATCTTATTTTTTTGGGTCCGGCTGGATTGCCTGGCCTAGGGGGGCCTCCAGGACCAAAGGTAAAACAAAATGAAGCTCACATTTGTAGTACACAAGTGAATGTTGAGAATTGAATGTTGTCCATTTTGTGTGTACTAACATATTGAGCGTGTGTGTTTTTTTTCTAAGGGGGATTCTGTCTCCGCTCAGAGTGGTTTGCCTGGTCCAAGGGGTCTTCCAGGCCCTCAAGGTATCAGAGGAGAGCCTGGTCCAGTAGGGTGGAATTTCTGAAAAATTTATGTGTGGCAGCATGCTACTTTATAGGTTTGTGACCTTAGTTGACAATCTGATCTGTGATTTGTCCCTCTCTCAGGGCTACACAGGTCCTCGTGGGGAAAAGGGAGAAAATGGAGCCAGTGGAGAAAGTGGAAACGATGGCCCACCAGTGAGTATACTCTTTTATTGGCCTTAACTGACAACAGAGCTTAGTCTCTATTCATTTAATTTTTACAATAAAACTATGGTACTTTTATCTTAGGGAAGTCCAGGAGAGCCAGGAAAACCATGGGCGGATGGGAAGCCGGTGAGAAACAAATTCCAGTGGCTGTGTTGCCAGTTTTTTTATTAAAATGAATTTTAATTGCTCTATGTCTAATTAATGTTGATGTTTTTGTTTGATGTGCGCTAAAGCAAGCATCTGAGTTAGTTTTGCTCATACTTATTAGACAGATACAGTAAGTATTAAACTTTGGTGTGTAACTTATCCCACACCATTTGTAGATTGTGTGCCTTGTTGTGGAGAATTGTGCTGTTACTTTTCCAAGTGATGTGATTTTTTTCAAGTGATGTCATTTTTTGTCTGGTGGACTATAAAACAGACAAACACAAACTGAATATGTAACTGATACTGAGGGACCTGAGACTTATCTGTGAACCAGAATATCATAGGGACTTTGAAAACACCCTAACAACCACCCAAGATGCCATACCAACTGCATAGCAATGTCCTTAGCACAGGCAAGCATCACCTTCCGATGATGCCTTATGCATTCCTATTATATAACAGTCATGCACATTGGTCTCCTGTAATTATGACAAACTACGGTAAGATTAGCAGAGAACGGTGAGTCCCACAAATCTCTTGCTCTCATTTGAGTCTGCTAATGTTTTGTGAATTCTGCAGAACTTTTAAGACCAGATTAAAGTTTAAGAACAGATTGCTTTTCATCACTTACTGTGATAGATATGTCAATTATGTAGTATTTTAGTAGCCATTCAGTATGAAAACATGCTGTCACAAAGAGAGTTTAGCATTAGTGGGGAAGAGGAGAGTTTTGACTCTCACTCACACATTTATTTATTCTCCTCTGAAGCAGGGTTTGAAGGGACCAGCCGGTCCGCCAGGCCTACCTGTGAGTAACAGCATTCCAACACAGCAGCCTCTCTTGGGCTTGCCAATGTAGGAAAGCCTGGGGATTTGACGCGAGTACTAGGCCTTGCTGTGAGCACTAGCTGACTTCCTTTGCCTGAGGCTCCATAGATAAACATCACAGAAGTAACAAATGCAGCACCGCTTCTATCCGCTAACCACTCTGTCTCCTCTTTTCCTCCTCCACTCCTTTTTGTAATCCCACTACCTTCAACTTCTAATTCCACTCCACTTGAAATTTGGACCATCACACCTCTCTACACTTCCTGTCCCTCCATCCCTTCCTTCCTCTCTCTAGGGCTTGCCTGGGTTCCCAGGAGTGCTGGGCAGACCAGTAGGTTTTCTTTGGCTGAGATTTTAGGCTGCTTTGCTAATATTGGGAAGGGGGCCGTCCTTGTCTCTGTAGTTTGTTTGTGTGTATTTGTGCATTTGTGTACGTCTATTAGATACTTGAGTGCGCTTGGAAGTATATATTATGTTTGATGTCTCTGTGAGCAATGTGAATATTTCATTTTTATACACTACCATTCAAAAGTTTGGGGTCTGTAAGTTTTTTTTCTTTTTTTTGAAAGAAATAATACTTTTATTTAGCAAGGACAAGTTGTTCAAAAGTGACAATAAATACATTTAATATATTGCAAAATTGTTCTATTCAAATAAATGCTGTTCTTTTTAACCTTATATTCATCAGAGATTTTTAACGAATATATTAAGCAGCACAACTGTTTTTAACAATGATAATAATAAGAAATGTTTCTTGAGCACCAAATCAGCATATTAGAATGATTTCTGAAGGATCATGTGACACAGAACTGGAAAATTCAGGTTTGCCATCACATGAATAAATGTAATTTTCAAATATAGTAAAATAGAAAACTATTTAAACTATTTTAAATTGTAATAATATTCACAATATTACTGTATTTTTGATCAAATAAATGCAGCCTTGGTGAGCATAATAGACTAACAAATATTTTACAAATCTTACCAACCCCAAACTTTGGAACAGTAGTGTATGTGCCTAATGTTTGTAGTCTTTGTCAAAAGTACAGTATACAGTATGTCTGTCCATTCAGAGCTTGTGTATGCTGTTTATATGTGCATGTGTGTATCTGTGTGCTTTATATTTGTATCAGCCTGCTATTCATATCAAATGTGTATTTTGCACAGGGGAATCCAGGAGAACCAGGAATAAGAGGACCAACTGTACGTATATTGAGTTTAATGTACATACTCAAATTAAAAATCTTTTTTCTAACCTTTGATTTGATATTTCAGGGACCGATGGGTGGAAGTGGACCCCCAGGGGCTCCTGGTGTGAAGGTTAATGCTGCATTTTATGACATGGACCATATAATTTTATTCGTTAGCAGTCATTTTAAATCTACAATAACAGCATGAACCATGTTAGCTATTTTGTCCCTATTTGTGTCCTGATTTCCTAAGCTTTGGTATTGCAGATACAAATAACATATAAAATGTGTGTATATGTACACATGTTTGTGTGTCATGTTTAGGGTGACCAAGGAGAACCAGGCATTGGAGTTCAAGTATGTTTTCCAGCTGAGTAGCGATGAACACTTTCCTTCAGGCGATTTGATACACAGCAATGTGTTTTTGGAATTACATAACTAACCCACCAGAGTTGACTCACTCTTCAATCTTTTCTCTTCATTCTTCAAGGGTCCTCCTGGACCTCAGGGCAACAGAGGGTTACCTGGACCTCTAGGCACTCCAGGAGCAATAGTAAGATAAAAACGCAATATTGGAGTCATTTCAACAGCTCAGAGGAGTTTGAACTCTCCACAGAGGTCATTAGACAATCTCTGCAGCTTCAGCTTAGAGCCTCTTCACATGCTCTGTTTCTCTGTGCCTTATTTATCCTTGACTCTCATAGTCTTCAGTTTGCCCTTGCATTTTAGAAAGCAACATGTTTTTCCTCCTTGCATAGGCCTATTTCAGCACTTAAATATCAGTGTACTGTTCAATTCAATAAATCCTGTGAGTTTTACATATGCATCTTGTTCTTATAGATAAGGGTGATTTATATTTATCTGAATAGGGATGAATGCAGCACTTTCTAATGTTTGCAGGGACCACAAGGACCTCCAGGGCTTCCAGGACAAGTGGTGAGTAAATAAACATACCAGACCAAAATAAACTATTACAGAGCATTTCAAATTACGAAAAATCCTCTATTACAGTTTTCCCTCTTCAACTAATTGGTCAAATGGCGGAGGTGAGGCAATGCATGGTTGAGTGTTCGATCAACAAAAGACAAAAAGTATCAGCTGTGAGAGAGTACTTGGCTTTGGATTTGAAAAGCAATATAGCTGTTTCACAGTGCAGTTAGAACTTTTTCTATGAGGTGCGAAAAAGATTGAAACTCAACCGCAATTCACTTTCTTGGATGGACACACTTGGTCTCGGTTGGGTGTTTGGTGCTGTTTCAGGCACAATCCAATTATTATATCGTGATACATGTATCGCATGGAAATGTAATGTTAGAGCGCCATGTACGTGAGCTCTTCAATAGATCTTCTCTCAGTGTTGTCATACTCAAATGCCAACTGAGGAGCAGCACAAAGTAGTAAAGTAAAAGACTTTAATCTAATATTTTATGACTGCTATGGATAAAAAGCTTTCTTTGATCCTCAGGTATGTTTTTACATACAAAGTTTAGACATTTTTTGACAGTCTCTATGTACTTCCCATCTAGTTAACTTCTTGGTTATTGTGTTTGCTACCCGAATTGTTTGCCAACACAAGGAGGTTTAATGTGTTTCATAACACAAAACATGTAAATTATGCTCATTTCCACAAGGTACATGCAATGATACAAGATTTTTTTTACAAATCCACCTACTGTACAACAGTAGGCCCACCTCAAATGCTTTTAGACAATATTAAAAATCAAATAACACACATTCGTGTTTAGAATAATTAATAACTCTTTAACAAAAATTCAAGCTGCCTGTTTCTGCTTTTGAATGCCTTGTTTTATAGACTTCTAATTGCATTACTATAAATGTGATTTTTATTTATTGTCTGTGATAATTGACAACATGCCACTAAGCTTTAACAATCATTTAATGTTCCTTTGTGTTTCTGATTAATAGATTTAGCTGTATGTAGCTGTACTTTTAAACCTTAAAAAAAACTGAAACTGAGTAAACATTATGTGCAAACTGTATTTTACCTCTTTTTCAGCATTCTGCCAGCTCTCTGACACAAATCCTGTGTAATTGTGCCTTATTGTGTGTGAGTTTATTTAGATATTGGCACTGATGTGCTCCATATATATATTTACCACATTTATCGACAAACTTATGACAGGACAGGGACAGGGAAGTAAACTATTGTGGCCCTTTGCACATTAAATGCCACAGGCAAAATCCATCACCTGCTTTCACTGTACAGCTGAATACTTCCAGGAGTAACTAATCTGTCAAGAGATGCCATCCACAGTTTCACCTATGATGGAAACTTTATAATATCTGAAAAATATGTACAGCATGTTCTCAGAAATGTGCAGTATTTCCTGAAAAAACATCAACGGAATAAACAGAACTGAAGCACACAGGCAGTCAATGCATCCATCCATTTGGTACAGTATCAATTCTCTTGAGGGAAATGGATGGCTTATCTGCACTGCACCATGACATAGATTGCAGATAATGGGCCATAGATTTGTTATTTCTGACATGAATATACCACATTATTAACTCAAATATTTGCTGATTGTTTAAGGGTCCTCCAGATCTGACATTGCCAGGTACAGTTGGAGAAAGAGGCCTTCCTGGATTACCGGTGAGTTTCACTCATTTTGGTTACTTATTGGAGCTTCTGTCTAATACATTCCAATGAATTTCTTTTATATGTGTATATAGGTGTATATATGTATTATATAGGTTTATATGTGTTGTTCTGGATATTTATTTATGCCTCATTATTTGTTCCCACAGTTTGCCGTCATATTCTGTCGTCAGCCATCCTTCATCATTAATGTCATTTGTATAAGTAATTCTGAATTCTCATTTCATACTACGTATTGATTTTGTTTGTGTGCCTGTTTTGTGTTTTAGGGTCCAAAAGGAGACAAAGGGCCAGCGGGGATCAAAGGAGAAAGAGTGAGTAGCGTTACTATGAAAAGAGTGTCCACTAACAAGGCAATGTACAATGTGTAGAAATAGAATTTAAAGTGGTATTTACTCACAGGGTGCTGCGGGTGATCCTGGAGATCCTGGTGAGAATGTGAGTACCTGCAGTCACTTCAGAGGCAGAACTGCCAGCAACCATCATCCATTTCATCTCCACTGTAATACATGCTTCATTTAAAGACTTTTTCACATTCATTGTTCAGGGAATGAGAGGACCATCTGGGCCCAAAGGAGTCAAAGGAGAGGCAGGTGTGGGAATACCTGGGCCTCCAGGACAATCTGGACCCATCGGCTTTAGAGTTGTTATTGAACTGTTGCTAACAGACCTCTAACCCTAAGTGTAAACTTTGGCACGTAAAGGCCCAAGTATACTTCACTTTCGGCACAGCCGAGTCCGCACAGCTTTCAAAGTATACTCAACCGCGGATGAACGTGGATGGACAAGCTCGACACATGTGCAGTACCACCTACTTGACTCGTTCTGTCTCAACATTTACCTTGCGCCTGCGCTGTTGTACGCGGACCATCCGCATGGTCACAAAAATTGGACTGCACACGGACAGTGTGTGCGGACGTCCGCAGACACTTCTGATGACAAAAATCGTGTCACAAGGACAGTGCACGGACCATTGCAGAACGCGGATGGCCGAAGTATACTTTGGGCTTAACTTATCCCACATCGTTTCTGTAAAAAACATGAATGATACCTCAAATCGACCACATAGCAATGCCCTACCAGCCGCATAATCAAACACCGAAAATGTAAAAATCTAGTGTGAATATTAAATACAATTTTTTAATCTGTTGTAGGGTTACCCTGGCTTACCAGGTCCTCCGGGCCCTCATGGACCACATGGATTGGATGGCACGCCAGGACTGGCAGGGCAGAGAGGTGAAGCAGGTCAGCCAGGACCCCCTGGACCACCAGGAGAGAGGGTTAGTAGAGTCGCCGCACATACAGAAACAAATGTACACTAAAAACAACACTTATTTAGAATTACTATCATTACATAAAGAAATAGGTTAAATACCATCATAGACAAAAACATTTACTGAATTTGGCTACATCCAATGATCGCAATTCCTCTTGGTGCTTGTAAGGGTCTACAAGGATTTATTGGCAAAGCCGGAAACCCAGGAACACTAGGAGCTGCTGGGCCCCCAGGACCCCCTGTAAGTCACAGACATGTTAAAATCAAATAATTGCATATAAGCATTTGCATTAAGGTGTTTCTTATAGCAAGTAAAATTGTGTGTGTGTGTGTGTGTGTGTGTATAATCCTCAGTGGTATTCATTGATGTCTTTATCTTCATATTAGGGTACTGCGGGCCTTCCAGGACTTAAGGGCGATAAGGTAAGTGATGTGTTGCTTGCAGGGCTTACAATTTTTAGGAGCACTCCTAATTTAAAAAAT